ATTATTATTATTAATATTATTATTATTATTATTATTATTATCACTAATACTATTATTAGTATTATATTATAAGTATAATCGACTAAAATTAAACAAATTTTATAAATTGTGTTACAGGATTTTAATAAACAATGTATTTATGACAAAATTTAAAATATAATGATTTTAAAAAATCATATTATTTGTTAAAAATGCATGCTAACCTTTAAATACGATCTAATTTATAGTACAAATGTTTTTCTGTTTATAACAAACAAAAATTGTTCCTTATTGGCGTAACCATATATAAAGTTATAATTATATGTACTTATTTTTTTAAATAACATATTGAATCTTTTATATAAAAACATATTGCTTTTTTTATCATCTATTGCTAATTAAAAAGTAAAAGAATCTCCATTATTAGTTTAGTATCAAATTTTTATTGATAGCACATAAAATAAAGTAACACCTATATGATATACTAAAACACGGCTTTGATTCCAAAATATATCAGATTTGCTAAAACGCTGCTTTGATTCCGAAAATAAAGTTTATATATATATGAGATTATTTTTAAAACGCGGGACTGTTACCTAAAAAACAGGAAAAAAAAAAACATATATTTTGAAAGGATTTTTAAATTAGTTTCTACAAATGGAAAGTCAATGGGGTTGTTGACCAATTTTTTAAAAGTTTTCACAAATGATTTATTGACCTCTCTTTTTCAATATATATAGATCTCAAAATTATCTTTTTTTATTTAAAAAAAAAAATCATTTCATTTTTTCTCTCTATATATTGCACCCTTATCTCTTCATGTCCAGAAATACTGAAAATAATTCACACTTATTTTGAAATGAATATAATGTAATTTATTACCAGTTACTTATTTTTAAACGATAAGGTGATCGACAACAAATCTAGAAAATTGTCAGATAATATGTATATATGTGTGTATATATATATTATATAATATACATATGCATATATATATATATATATATAGAGAGAGAGAGAGAAAGGATCATATGAGAATAACGCGAGAAATGAAAATGAGTTTGGATCATTGGATCCAACATATCAATGTCTTGATCAAGTCAAACTATGATCAATCATTAATGACAATATGGTAATTATTAAACATATTGTGGTCAAATATGTGTATTTGACCAATAATTAAGGGTAATATGGTAAATAAACATATCAAGTGGGACCCACTCATTAAATTAACTCACCACTCATTTTTCTCTCTCCTCAACATCTCTTTCTCCATTTTCACGGATCTGAAACAGAACGCACACAGTACACACACACACAGTCCGGTTGTCCGACCACCACATCGCCGCCGCCGCACAGCCACCGTGTGCAATTCTCCAACCCCGACATCTAGCCGCTCAGACCACCACCAGTCCAGCCACCAACCACCACCATCCCAAACACCGACTCGAAACACCATTGGTCCCGTTATCGAAACCAACAACCACCAGCCTTAGCCACAACGCGAACAGGCCAGCCGCCGCACACCCACCGTCTACAATTATCCACCACTGATGTCTAGCCGCTCCAGCCAACACCAACATCGTCATCAATCTTCGTCGTCGATGCTGTCTGCGCCGTCCATCTCCTCTCCGTGTGTCGCCGGTCAAATTCAGATGTCCACTTTCCGGCTGACAAGATCCGCCGGCTGAATAGAGTACCTCCGGCAATCACGCTCCGCCGGCTGAATCAAGCACCTCCGTCAAACGGACACTCGATCCGGTGGAGGCGATTTGAAAGTAGAAGGGAGGTGCGGCCGATTTTTGTTTGTGATCAATTTGGGGATGAAAATGCAAATTGGGGATGGAATGACTTTTGGGTGGGTATTTAATTGCAAGTAGGTTAATTATTGGGAGTTATTTTCTATTTTTAAAAAACTCTACAATATAAATTAATTAATAATTTAAATATTTTATACCAGATTATTAAAATTTAATAGATATAAGATATTGATAAGTAAATTTAAATAAATAAAGTTGATATTGAACCGTAATAACCAAAATTTTAAAATATAAAATGATAATCGGACCGACATATAAATTTCGATCCGAAAATTTTATTTCGATTAGTTGATTGCTATAGGGTGCAATATGTGAGACATTAATGTGCATTTTATCTAACAATATCGTGAACAACTTTGGCCGTGTTAGTATACAACCTATCAGATATTAACAATATCGTGCACGACTTTATACGGTGCAACATGTTGTGTTATAAGGTACAACGTATTACTGTATAAAGTGCAACGTATTAATTTTGGGACGTTCACAGTTTTATTCTTTTTTATAGATGAGGTGATAAAGTGCAACGTATTGTTTTATAAAGTGCGATATTCCGTTATATAAAGTGGAGTGCCTAATTTATACATTCCCATATAAATTATGTATAAATTATGTGTATAATTGTACATTGCATTTAACTTAAATAATTAAAATATCTTTTTAATTATTATTTTTATTATAATTTATTTATTATTACAAAATATTTTTATAGTATATTATAAAATACATTTTATATTTTAATATTTCTATTTAATAATTTATAATATTTATAGTTGAAAATATAATAAAAAAAATCAAATTCTATAAAGTGCAATCGAGCAGACAATAATGTGCAATTCGTCTAACATTATTGTGCAATAAATTAATATAGATAAATTATATTATATATTTATTCCATACTTTAATTTATAAACATTATCTAATGAGGTGATAAATTTGATCGATAAGATGAGCTGATAAACATTATCTAATGAGGTGACATATATATATACATATATATATATATAGAAGTGCGCTCAAATGAGAATGAATCACAGTGAAAGAAATAAGAATGAATTTGGACCATTGGATACATCATACCAATGGTGATGATTAAGTCAAATTCTGGTCAATCATTAATGGCAATTTGGTAATTATTTAATCATAGTATGGTCAATTATGTGTATTTGACCAATAATTAGGGATAAGTTGGTCAATACACATATATTATGTGGGACCCACCCACCAATTAAATATGGATTTCTCTTTCATCATCCTCCTCCATTATACCAATCGATTTCAGATCTAAGCAACACACACACACACACACATACACACACAGGAGAACAGCCCTCCGCCGTGACTCTACCGCCAGACGCCAACTGCGACGCAAGAGACTCCAGCCGTACATCCGCCGTCCAGCGCCGATCGCGACACTGGAGACGTCGGTCGTTCCTCCGTCGTGCCTAGGCAACCAATTTCGTCGGCGTCCTCCCGCCGACATCCTCAGATCCGGTCGCCGTTAGCCGTTCGCCTCATCGAGATCCTATGAGGCGGCGCCGCTCTCGCATCGTCTTCCACAAGAGGCGGAGCAGAGGCGACCTAGCGGCTGATGCCAGACCGGTGAGGAAGTTCAGTGACGAGTGTATGTCACCGGTAAGGAAATTCAGAGCCGACTTGGGTGATTGGGGGCATTTTTAGGGTTATGTGATTTGTTGTTGATCTCGAACCACACTGCGGTGGCGGGGATGGTGGCGTTGAGGGCGGCCTGACTGCGAATCCGGCGGTCGGGTGTTGTCGGCGGCGAGTTGTGTCTGAAAAAGGAGTGATTGAATGGTGTTTTTGGAATTTGGTATTGTTTTGAACAAAAATTTCGAATGACAGTGGTGGCTGAATTTTCGTAGTCGGCGGTGGGTGGTGATGTGGCCGTGGACTGATGACCGTCAGCCCGTCGGAGGAGGTTGNAATTGGGTTTGTTTTTTGAGAATTTGATAGGATAGAAGGATTCAATATTTTATAAACTTAGATAAATTACAATTGAGGGTTAAATATGTAATTAATTAAAATATGATTAGTATTTTATCATTTAATATTTTAATATTAAATTTTCTATTTTTGTTGTATTTTAATATGTATGGCAATCTTGTAATTTAATTAAAAGTGCCATAAGTGCACATTATAGTACAAAAAATGCCCATTATTGTATGTTAAAATGCACATTAAAAATTACATCGTAATTTAGTTAAATTATACATTTTGCTATGCTTATCGTTCGGTTGGTTTTGTTGTTTTTGTCATTTTAAATAATAATGGCGACATATAATCAAAATATTTAAATTTTTGAAAGTAGAAAAATCGATAATTAAGTTGAAATATAAAAAATCCGAATCGAAAAAATCTTAATTCGGTCGTTCTCGGTCACTAGTGTGCAGTCTGATATACATTAATGTGCAACTTATCTAACACGATTGTGCAATTTCTCTGTTGCTTTTTTGCAACGTGAATTAAAACGAATATTAACTATGTTGTGTATTTTTCCGGTTAATATTATATTCAGTATTTTAATAATTTATTTTAACAAGTTTATATTGTTATTTGGTTGAAAAACATAGCATATGGAATCGTGAATATGATGTTGTGCATTCATACTTAAAATAATGTACATTTAGTCTAACATTATTGTGCATCATCTTGTGCGTGTATTTTTTTTAATTCGTTACAATTTTATTTATAAATAAATAATGCATATTTTTAATTAACATTATTGTGCAATTAATAAATTATTTATATATTAAAATACAATTATCATTTATGATTTTTATTTAATATTTTTATACTATTGCTTGTTGAAAATAATTAAGATACATATAAGTTGGTCTTTTTTTTATTATTTTCATGTGCATTTGATCTAACAATATTGTGCAATCTGTCTTTCATTAATGTGCGTCTTGTTTGATACTTTGTGTAATATGATAGCCATTAATGTGATATATTTAGTATTTTATATTTTTTATTTAATATTTCTATTATTTTATTCCAACACAAATATTTAAAATATTTCATTTTTAAATACTCTGTATAGACCAGGCTAAAACTGGAATGAAATAATCAGTTTATTCGCTGGGTTAACCGAATTAAACTAAAACAGTCGAAATGATTTACAATTTATATTTAGTATTTTAATATTCATATTTTATATTTTGTTTTATGTTTTGTTTGAAATTTTCTAATATATATATATATATATAAGAAATATAAAAATGTATTGTTTTTTATATAGTTTGGTTGTTTTATTATTTAAAAATATTTAACCGTGATAACTGATTTTTTAAAATGAAAATAGATGATAGAACCAACCTATAAAAGTTCGATTCGAAAATTTAGTTTAATCGGTGTCGTCCATTATTGTGCACTGTATCAGTCATTAATGTGTATTTCGTATAGCACTATTGTGCACTCGAATAGTAGTTATATTTAATTTGAATATACATAATATATTGTGCATTTTATTTATTATTAATATGTATTTATTACACTTTCTATAAATTTCAGATTTAGCACATGAACCAAATTGAAATATAATCAAATTTCATTAAATTGCAACCAAGCCCTTGAAGATCATCAAATTTTTAAAAAAAATGCCCAAATTCCCAAACTGTTCTTCTATGTCTGCGCGTCACCCTCTTCTGGCCGGCGACATCCGGCATCGCCGTTGACGGCGTAAATTATCCCGTCGACAAGAGAGCCACTGCAGTGCTAGATGAAGATTTTTTTTTTTTTTTTTCGGCTATAAAACCGCCATTAATGGCGGCTGAGCTTGATGGTCGATTTTTCGATGTAGCGAGGTGGAGTACGAACGATGGTTTCGACGACGGCCGGTGTGTGAAATAACTTCGAGGCGGAGGACGACGTCGGACATGGTGAGTTGGACGGTGTTTGTCCCATTTTTGTTACGTTATTCGTGTCTATTTTCTCTTTCTTTTTCCTCATTTTGAGTCATTTAGATGGTTTTAGGATCATTTTGTCATTTATTATGTGTTTTGCGTTCATTTGAGTGTTGCGATGTTTTCCGTTTGTTTTCCGGTCTTTTTCTGTTCTCTTTTCGTTTTTGGTGTGTAGTTTGAAGACCTCGGGAGAACAGGTTTTCGAGAATCTTGTGGGGAAGCTGACACCATTAGATAGAGGGGTTCGTTAGCGACACGTAGGAAAAAACGGAACTCAATTCTGAGTTAAAACGAACCCAAACGAGCAAAATTCGTAAGATGGTGCAGTGCAGATTTTGGTCTCCGCGGCCGCGACCCTTTCTTCGCCGCGGCCGCGGCGAAGAAAAGTTGCCAGGTCCCAAATTTCAGCAATGAAAATCCCGCGGCCGCGGAGGTCTACGTCGCGGCCGCGGAGGTCGCGACAACAGAATTTTTATCCTGCGATTTTGTTCAGTTTTTCATTCATTCCTTCACCTAGGTTTAGACTCTCTCTCGTTTTTATTCACTCCAGAACAAGTATTTCTCTTAGTTTTGATAGTTTTTGATCTTGGATTGTGAAAACACCAAGATTCAACTCTTAAATTTGGATTGCTCCTTGTTTCTTCAACATTGGATTCATATTAATCGTAAGTTTCTCTCTTATTTCATTGATGAGTGATATGTCTTTGCTTCATATGAATGTTGATGTTGGACTTGTGATGAGTAGCTAAATTCGTTAACTAGGGCTAGGAGATAATTGTTCCTGTTCAATTTCGTTTGTATGAATGTTGATTGCTCAATCTATTCGAGTTGTGCTAAATCTAGGGTTGAATTGATTGATCACCTTATTAATCCACTAAATCGATCCTTAGAACCGAAAGGGGAGGGATCGATTGATCTAGGCTCGTTTAGAATAGACTTGTTCGGAGACGTATTGTCTACGTGCTGATTGATTTGATAATTGTTCATTTATGTTTGTTCTCTTGTTATGTGAGTTATTGAGGATGAATCTCTGAATGAGTGCGTTTTTCGTGTCCTTTGGCCGAGTGATTGATTGTCGTTTAATGTATTGAGAACCGGAAACGATTGTCCCCGACACCCTAGTCATTCTTATCATTCTTTGAATTGTGTTTCTGGAGTGCTAAATTGGACTTTCTTGTTTGAGCACCATTAGTGTTAATCGCATAGTTGATAATTCAAACTAATCAATTGAATTAGAGTGTTTAGGATTTAATTTCTCTTTTTGTGATTGAATATGCGTACAAGATAATCCGGCTAACCTTCCTTGAGACACGACCCGGTGTTCGAATCTTTTGATTTAACTCCGGTAAAAATAACTACAACAAAATGGCGCCGTTGCCGGGGAAGGTTTAGGACTTATTTTGTGCGCCTATTCATCTTGTTTTTAGTGTTTCTCTTATTTCTTGCGATTTTTCTTGTTTTTGTGTTTCTCTTGATTTCTTTATATTTGTTAGGTGTTAGTTCTTGTTTTATTGTGTTTTTATCATTGGTGCTCGTAACCCTCGTTGGTCTTAGTGTATGCGTACCAGGAGTGGACGCAAATTGCTATCTCCGATCAACAAATCAGTCAACGAGAGCCTGAGGGAGCTGCTGGAAGAGCTTACTCTCGAATCTAAAGAAGGAGACGAGCACTCCCCGAAATCGTCAGAAGCCAGTAACATCGTCATGGACGAACAACAACAACAACCGCCTCGTAACACCCTCCGAACCTTAGCTCAACCGGTTATCGGGCCAGTCACTTCGTGTATCCGTTTGCCAGATCCTTCACGGAATTATGAGCTAAAAATGATTCAGTACAACCAGCTGCCGGCATTCCATGGGCTCCCGAGTGAAGACCCGCTTAACTTCATCCGGGAATTTTACAATGTCCTCAACACCTTCCCTCTGAATGGGCTGAATGAGGATCAGTTGAAGATGAGGTGCTTCCCCGAGACATTGAAAGACCGGGCCAAGGCCTGGTTCATGACACTTGAACCGGCATCCCTGACTACCTGGACCGAGGTTTACACGAAGTTCATTGGGAGGTACTACTCCCATCAGAAGACTCAGGAGCTCAGGTCACAGATCGTCTCGTTTGCCCAACTACCGAGTGAGCCTCTTCATGAGGCCTGGGAGCGATTCAAGGATCTCCAGCGGCAGTGTCCCCACCACAATCTTTCACCGGGACTACTGATGAACTGCTTCTACGACTCCCTCAACCAGAATTTGCAATATATGGTTGACAACGCTGCGGGGGGAGACATCGGTGCGAAGACGGCCGAAGAGATGTATGAGATCTTTGAGACGATGAGGGAAGCGGTCCACAGTGAATGAGGTTGGCTCAAGTAATAATGCTATGGCCCAGCAGTTAGCCGAGCTCACGGAGCAGATGCGGCTACTAAATGCTCGAAGTTCCTCGCCAATACAGGCTATGGCCGTGAGTGCTTGTGGAGCATGTGGAGTACAGGGGCACAGCTCTGAGGTGTGCCCGTCAGCTGTCGAGCCAGGCTATGTAGGCCAAACTACCGAGGTGAATGCAATG